TTGCACTCCAGTCTGGGTGACAGAGTGAGACTCCAACTCAAAAAAAAAAAAAAGATTTAACTAAGGGGAGGATTAGAGTGCCATTCCCATGAATGGGATGTGTGTGTGTGCACACACACACTCACGTGAACACACACCTGCTCTGTGTCAGGCACTATTCTTAGCACTTACGTACATGGACTTGATTTTGTAAAAATATCAGCTCTTCCTAACTTGTTCTATAGGCTCGATGAGATTCCAGTCAAAATGTTTTGGAATTCAGATTCTAAAATTTATATTGCAGAAGGAAGGACCAAGAATCCTCCAGGCATTCCTGAGGTAGAAATGGAAGGCGAGGGGGATACCCTCCAGTTATCAAGAGCTGCTGGAAAGCTCTTGTCATGATGACAGTGCGGGATTGGCATAGGGTGGACAGACTGACAAAGGGACAGAATGGAGAGACCAGAAGCATACCCATGGCTCTGTGGTCACTTGGGTGGCAGAGTGCTATTGCATATCCACAGGGAAAAGGTGACACTGAATACATGGCGTGGGCCCCGAGGTTATCCATGCACAGACATTGTTTTCCAACAGGCACAAAAATCAGCTCCTGATAGGGTAGACTTAGATACAAAAGTCAAAACTTGAAACTTTTGGGCCAGGTGGAGTGGCTCGCGAATGTAATCCCAGCACTTTGGGAGGCGATTGCCTGAACCCAGGGGTTTGAGACAACCTGGGCAACATCATGAGACCTCATCTCTACAATAAATCAAAAAATTAGCTGGGTTTGGTGGCGCACACCTGTGGTTTCAGCTACTCAGGAGACTGAGGCAGAAGGATCTCCTGAGCCCAGCAGGTGGAGATTGTGGTAGCCAGGAGGGTACCATTTATGCCAGCCTGAGTGGCAGAGTAAGACTTCGACTCAAACCAAAAATGTAAAAAAAAATTGGAATAAAAAGTGACTAAATATCTTTATGATGTTGGGGCAGAAAAGGATTTCTTTTTTTAATTTTTTAATTTTTTTGAGACAGCAGGATTTATTGAGAGGACAGAAAAGCTCCCACAGTGGGAGGAGACCCAAAGGGGTTGCCCCGAAAAGGATTGCTTTAACCAGGTAGAAAACATGTTAATCATATGTGGAAAAGGTTATAAATTTAGAAGTTAAATGAAGAACTTTTTTGCTTATTCCCAGAAAGACAAAGAAAGGCAGCATTAAAAAGAAAAAAACAAATTACAAGCAAAGGAGATATTTATAACATATATTATTATCTAGAATATAACTTCTAGGACTCAATAAGAAAAAGGCAAGCAATCAAGGTTTTTTTTTTCTTTAATGGGCAAAAAACTACAAGCAAGCATTTTATTTAAAAGAAACACAAACGCCAGGCTCGGTGGCTCAGCCTGTAATCCCGCACCTTTGGGAGGCGGAGGTGAGTGGATGGCCTGAGCCCGCGGGTTCGAGACCCGCCTGGGCAACTTGGTGAGACCTCATCTCTACAATAAATCAAAAAATCAGCCGGGCATGGTAGCACGCGCCTGTAATTCCGGCTACTCGGAAGGCTGAGGCAGAAGGATCACCGGAGCCCAGCAGGTCGAGGCTGCGGTGGCCGGGAGCGGCCACTGCACTCCAGTCTGGGCGACAGAGTGAGACTCCAACTCACAAAAAAAAAAAAAGAAAGAAAAGCAATGTGGCACTGCAGTAGACTATTGTTCAGAAATATTTTCTACCCCTCCCTGTGTAAAGATTATACTTTGCCGCCGTATTGCTGCCTGGCTTGGCTGTGTGACTTGCTCTAAAGAAGTAGTCCCAACCATTTTGGCAGCAGGGACCAGTGGGAGACCACGGCAGGGGACACAGGGAGGGTAGGGGGAAAGAGGGGAAGGGACGTGCAGTCTAACCTCATTGCTCATGTACATCTGTATTTGCAGCCGCTCCCCAGAGCTCACATCACGGCCTCAGCTCCATCTCAGATTATCAGGCACGTGATTCTCATAAGGAGCGGGCAACCTAGATCCCTTGCCTGTGCAGTTCATAATAGGGTTCATGCTCCTATGAAAATCTCATGCCCCCTAAGATCTGACAGGAGGCAGAACTCAGGCGGTCACGCGAGCGAGGCTACAAATACATGGAAAGCTTCGCTTGATCACTGCTCACCTCCTGCTGTGCTGTCCAGCTCCTAACAGGTCACAGACGGTTAAAGTCTTTGGCCCGGGGGCTGGGGATCCCTGCTCTAAAGGTTAGAGTTGAACCAACTAAATAGGAGCAGAGGCGACAGACATTCCTTTGTCACAAGATGGCCCAGTAGAAGCTCCTCTCTTCGCCTAAATCCTGGGGTGGGGCCAAGAGCCACAGCCAGCCTATAGTGGCCAATCATGGCCAAGGGACACACACCTTTGTTGTTTTGTTGTAACCCATTTAGAGCTGGGAGCCATCTGTTACTTCTGCACTACTTAGCATGTCCTCACTGACAGAGGGACCGGCTAGTAAAGTTGTGCCAGATGCAGCAATTCCACTTTTAGAAACGTTCCCTAGAGGCCAAGAGTGGTGACTCACACCTGTAGTCCCAGCACTTTGGGAGGCCGGAGTGGGATGACTGCTTGAGCCTAGGAGTCCAAAACAGCCTAGGCAACATAGTGAGACCTTGTCTCTACAAAAAAAATCAAAACACTAGCTGAGCGTGGTGGCATGTGCCTGAAGTCCTAGCTACTTGGGAGGCTGAGGTGGAAGGATAGCCTGAGCCCAAGAGGTTGAGGCTGCTATGAGCCATGATTGTGCCACTGCACTACAGCCTGAGCAACTGAGTGACCGCTAGCTCAAAAGAAAAAAATTCTTTTCCTAGTGACATTCCTGCACAAGAGACACATAATACACTCCTAGCAACACTGCTCATGATTATAAAACACCTGGAAACAACCCCAATGCCTCTTGGGAGAGAACAGATTCATAAATAACAGTATCTTTGCAAAATCAGACAGCACTCAGGGTGAATGCATTCAAGCTACACATAACACGAATGAGTCTTATAAATACAATTTTGAGTCATACAAGCAAGTCACAGAAGTTTCTGTACAGCATAATACCATCTTCATAAAACTCAAAAACAATCAAAACTAAAAATCATATTTTAAGTATGTAAGCATATGATAAATATCTTTTTTTTTTAAACAAGGGAAAGATAGACTCAAAATTCCAAGAGAGGTTTCCTGGGGATGGGCGGAGGTGAGTGGAGATGCAGCACATGGATGTTCTGACCTTGACTTTGACCTATAAAGGGTCAGATGTTAGATATTTTAGGCTGCGTGGACCTGCCCCTGTAGTGCAAAGGTAGCCTTGGGAAGCCTGTGAATAAGTGAGCGTGGCTGTGTGCCGCAGAATTTCACCCTGGACTCTGAAATTTGAGTTTCATATAATTGTATGTGCCATGAGATATTCTTCTTTTTTTAACTTTTAAAAGTGAAAAAGTCATTCTTAGCTCATGAGCCACACAAAGGCAGCCATGCCTGGTGGCACATGTGCCTATAGTCTTAGCTACTGGGGAGGCTGAGGGAGGAGGATCGCTTAAGCCCAGGAGTTCGAGGCTACAGTGAGCTATCATCAGACTACCGTACTGCAGTCTGGGCAGCAGAGCAAGATCCTATCTCTTAAAACAAAAACAAAAACAAAAGGCACTAGATTTGGCCAGGAGAGTTTGGTGGCCCCTGATCGAGTGCTCTGGTTGGGCTATGAGTTCATGGTGTGCATTTTCTCATTGTGCTTCCTACCTGGCACACATGATTCAGTTATTAGTTTGTGTGCCAAATATTAAGAGTTAAGAATCGTAAAACTGTAAAATGTGCAATGGGGTGCGATGGCTCATGCCTATAATCCCAGCACTTTGGAAGTCCAAGGCAGGAGGATTATGTGAGACCAAGAGTTCAGAACCAGCCTGGGCAACATAGCAAGACTTTATCTCTCAAAAATTTTTAAAAATCCTGGCTGCTCACGTCTGTAGTCCCAGCTCCTCAGGAGGCTGAAGCGGAAGAACTGCTTGAGCTCAGGAAGTTGAGGCTGCAATGAACCATGATCGTGCCACTGCACTCCAGCCTGGGCGACAGAGTGAGACCCAGCCTCAAAAAAAAAAAAAAAAGTAACCTGACTCAGATGGGAGCAAGACGCAAGACAAAGGCAGAAGGTGTGAGGATGGAGAAGACCCCAGGACATGCCGACTCTGGAACTCTTTCTGAAACTCTTTCTCAAGGCCTGAGATTTCTTGCCCTTGACGTCAAACTCAGGCACTCTGATCATTCTGCCCCTGACAGTGGTGCACATCACGGTGTTAAGTGACAAAACCAATGGCAGGTTTGGTTGGGGACATTTACTGCATCCTTAGGACTTATTGTCATGTCTCACCAGCACCAAAAACCCCAAAACAAAACAAAAAAATATCCTGCATGGACTTTGATTACACATAACATAACAAGCTGGAGGGGATGGGGTATTATCATTGTAGCTTAGACCATTGACCTATGTGATTGAATTTAAACTACAGGGGGTGCCAAAAAAATGTATACACATTTTAAGAAATATCATCTGTGTATTACATTTCGAAGTTGAATTAAATTACTGTAGCCATGTGAAGTATGATGTTCACTCAACTGTGCTTCCGCCATTTTCTTTGACTGTCCTGCCTGCTGCATGGTGACACTCATTTGATTAACGCCATCTTTTGCGCGAATGTCATACTTCAAATGTGTATACGTTTTATTAGCACCCCTGTATAATTTTCTCTGGATTTCAAAAAACCAGCCCAAACCTGTTACGTGGTATCTAGACAATGTCGTTTTGCCACCAACTCTGCCCTCTGTTAAAAGTGATGCATTTTTAAAGGCCAACTCATTAGCATTTAGAAAAACACTTGTGGAGGAGTAATCCTGGGAATTATAAAGGAGGTGCTTTTCACTTGAGGAGGACATGATGGCGGGATCACTCGTGTTTCTCCTTGGCTTCTTTGCGAGAGAGTTCCAGCAAATGAGTTTCCAAATCACAGCTCACATCCTCCTTCTTCTTCTTCTGGAAATCGGCAGCTACAGGCATCTTCCTCTTGGACAGTTTGTACTGGCCTTAGAAATGCTAAAACAAGAAAAAAAAAGTAAAGATACTTACATTTTGTTGTTTGTCTTGATCATGTAACACTTATTTTTTCCATGAATCACAGTCACAGAACATCTCAAAGCAGTGAACATTCTCAACTTTAATTTTAACAAACTCATCCACAGGCAAGGCAATAGCAAGTATGCGCTTCTTCTAGGGATTATTTAAGAGTATTTTTTCCCTTTTCCCAAATATGTGTATTTTTTGGTCTTTAAAAACAATTTTCTACAATGGCTAAAAAAAAACTTTAGCACGAATCACTATAGCATAAAGTATTAGCCAAATGCTCAATAGAACCGACACTTGTTCAGCAGCACATATTTTAGTCCAGAGGGCTACTTAGATTAGGGATTTAACAATTTCTTTAGAATAAAAAGCCATGGCACCAAGATTGTAAAGATACCTCCATCCTTCTATTGGTAAGCAAAGAACTGACTTGTACGTGGTATGTGGGCTTCAGGTTTTTTTTTACATGTTGGTGCAGAGTATCTGTGTCACTGCTGACCAGTTTTCAGTCCTAAGCAGACATTTCTTGAGTCTGACTAAGCAAAAGGTTCTACCCCAGTGTCACATGCACGTTACTATTTTTAAAATAACCAAAACAGGCCAGGCATGGTGGCTCACTCCTATAATCCCAGCACTTTGAAAGGCCAAGGCAAGAAGATTGCCTGAGTCCAAGGGTTCTAGACCAGCCTGGGCAACGTGGTGAGACCACATCTCTACAATAAATAAAAAAGTTAGCCAGGCATGTTGGGGCATGTTTGTGGTTCCAGCTACTTGGAAGGCTGAAGTGGAAGGATCACCTGAGCCCAACAGGTCGAGGCTGTGGTGGCCATGAGCATGCCACTGCACCCCAACCTGTGCAACAGATTGAGACTCCAACTCAAAAAAAAAAAAAAAAAAAAGCCAAACCACTACACTTTCTCCCAGAACTCACACAAAACAGGCAAGACTTTCGGACATGCCAGTGGGATGGGTTTTGAAATTGTATCAGTGATTAGCCTATCCATGAAGCTCTGCTTCCAGAAAGGTGGAACTGTCAGATGGTCCCATGTTCTTCCTGCTGAGTACTGCCAATATAAACACACATAAGAAGACTCTGGAAGGTGGAGAGAGAAAGGCTGACAGGCTAAGGATCTCAAGACCCCAGGGCTTGTTTCTGCCTCACAGACCCCAGGCGGGGAACTAGGCAAACTGGCAACCTAGAAATGCCAGTGGATATAGATAACAACAACAACAAAAGGCCTGCTCTCGCCAGCTACAAGACCAGGAAAGGGGCAGCCAGCAAAACTGAAAACTTTTAGACAGTAACCACTCAACCCTAACAAAACACCATAGAACAAACTATGGCCCCCATCCCCAGGCCCAACAGGGAGGCCAAGCAGGCAGCCTTGACTTCCCACCTTCGCCAGGCTGCATTAAGGTTCATCTCCTCTCCTCACTGGAAAGGGAGCATCAGGAGAGTCAGGATGTCACCAGCAGTCACGTGGCTGCTCCCACTCTCACTCAACCCTTCACGATCAGCAGAGGCCACATGGGACGCAGTGATGAAGTGCCCTTCCTCTTCCCAGCCAAGGTTTTTTCAGCAGAGGCCTGGGGGGAGCCTGGACCCCCCTCATGTGTCTAGTAATAATGGGAAGCCCCTCACCCTGCAGGAGATCCAATGCAGGATGTGAACTTTCACCCCTGCCTGGCAGTCACAAGGTGCCATCAGCAGACGCTGGCATCTAGATGACACAGATGCTAGAATTGTCTGGTGAGGACTTTAAGGCAGCCACTGTGAAAATACCTCATCAGGTGAGTAGGAGCCCATTTGAAACAAATGAAAAAGAAATAGGAAAGACCCAGGTGGCGGCCATAAAACTGAAAAATTACAACTGAAGTTTTTTTTCTTTTTGAGTTGGAGTCTCACTCTGTCACCCAGGCTGGAGCTCAGTGCCACGCTCAGGGCTATCGCAGCCTCAACCTCCTGGGCTCAGGCAATACTTCCACCTCAGCCTTCCAAGTAGCAGGAACCACAGGCATGTGCCACCACGCCCGGCTCATTTTTTTATTTATTGTAGAGACGCGGTCTTGCCAAATTGCCCACACTGGTCTTGAACCCCTGGGCTCAGACAATCCTCTCACCTCTGCCTCCCAAAGTGCTGGGATAATGGGCATGAACCACTGCGCCTGACTTGAAATTTTAAAAATGAATGAATGAGTTCAACAGCAGAATGAAGGGGACAGAGAAAAGAAACATCATCCAATCTGAACAGCAATGAGAAAAGATGGGAAAAAATGTACAGAACCTTGGGAACATGTGGGACTATCACAAAAGATCTAATTTTTGTGTCATTGTTGTCCTAGAAGGAGAAGAGAAAAAGAATAGGGATGAAAAGAAGTGCAGAGGCTCCTTGGTGTACAACGGAATGACCTCCTAATAAACCCAATGTAATTGAAAATATCCAAGTTGAAAATGCATTCCAACCGGGTACAGTGGCTCACACCTGGAATCCCAGCACTTTGGGAGGTCGAGGTGAGAGGACTGCCTGAGCCCACGGGTTTGAGACTAGCCCAGGCAACTTGATGAGACCTCGTCTCTACAATAAATCAGGAAAGATTAGCCAGTCGTGGTGGCGCATGCCTGGAGTTCCAGCTACTTGGAAGGCTAAAGTGGAAGGATCGTCTGAACTCAACAGGTCGAGGCTGTGGTGGCCGTGAGCCACTGCACTTCAGCCTGGGAGACAGATTGAGACTCCAACTCAAAAAAAAAAAAAAAAAAATGCATTTCACACACCCAACCTACTGAGCATCACTGCTTAGCCTAGCTGCCTTAAACCCAGCACACTCACACTAGCCTACAGTTGGGCAAAATAATCTTAACACAAAGCCTATTTTGTAATAAAGTGTTGAATATCTCACCTAATCTATTGAATACTGTGCAGAAACAGAAAAGCAGAACAATTGTATGGGTACCATCATAAAGTCAAAAAGCTGCAAGTTGAACCACTCTTTCCCTAAGTTGTCTCAGGTGACCCCCCAGGATGATCCACTACTCATTTGACCCAGAGAACCCCAGCAAGTCGTGCGAGTTCAGAGACTCCAATCTTCCTGTTCACTTCAAGAACACCCGAGAAACTCAAGGTACACACATACGAAAAGTCACCAAGTAGTTGAAAGATGTCACTTCACAGAAACAGTGTGTGCCATTCTGATGCTACAAACATGGAGTTGGGAGGTGTCCTCGGGCCAGATAGTGGGGTTGGATACGAAAGGGGTCAGTGGCTCAAAAAGAGTGCTCAGTGTTTGCTGCACAGACTTAAAAAATGCAGAACTTAAGGGCTTAGATGTGGATTCTCTGGTCATTGAGAACACGCAGGTGAGCAAAGCCCCTGAGATGTGCCACAGGACGTACAGGGTTCATGGTCGGATCAACCCCTACATGAGCCATGTCAAGATGATCCTCACTGAAAAGGAACAGACTGTTCTTAAGCCCTAGGAGGAGGCCACACAGAAGAAAACACTATCCCTGAAGAAACAAAAACGTACGGCTCGGGAATACATCCAGCATGAAATAAATGCAAATCAAAGTGAAAAAAAAAAAGGATAAGCTGAACTGTCAAAAGTTGGGGCAGTCTGTATTTGAAAAAATAATGACTGACATTTCCCAGATCTGAAAAAAGGTGTATATCTACAGATTTAAGAACCTATATGAGGCTCCAGCAGGATCAACCCAGAGATATCCACAGCCAGACACCCACTACCTCACATTCTGAAAACAAGAGACAGACAAAAACCTGGAAAGCAGCCAGAGCGAAACAACATGTCACTCATAGAGGAAAACCCACTTGAGCAACAGTGGATTTTTTTCTTTTATCAGAAACCATGCAGGCGAGAAGAAAGTGGCAAAATACTTCAAGTACTGAAAGAAAAAAGTTATCAGTTCTAAATTCTATACCCTGGAAAAATAGCTTTCAGGAATAAAGGGGAAATTTGAAAAAGAAAGAGAGAATTTTTTCTTTTTGAGTTGGAGTCTCACTCTGTCGCCCAGACTGGAGAGCAGTGGCCGCTCCCGGTCACCGCAGCCTCGACCTGCTGGGCTCTGGCGATCCTTCCGCCTCAGCCTTCCGAGTAGCTGGAACTACAGGTGCGCGCTACCACACCCGGCTAATTTTTGATTTATTGTAGAGATGAGGTCTCGCCAAGTTTCCCAGGCGGGTCTCAAACCCGCGGGCTCAGGCAATCCACTCACCTCAGCCTCCCAAGGTGTGGGATTACGGGCTGAGCCACCGAGCCCAGCCGAAAGAGAGAATTTTTTACCAGCAGACCTACCCTAAAAGAATGACTAAAGGAAATTCTCTAAACAGAAAAGAAATGTATATAATGGAAGTATTTGAGACAAGTATATTCTAAATTGGAAGTTATAAAGTTGCAAAGGGAGGTAAAATCTCTACATTTCATTCAAACTAGTAAAATGTTGATACCGGGTTGACTGTGATAAATTACGGATCTATAATGTAATATCTAGAACAACCACTCAAAGAGTTATACAAAGAGGTACAAGCATGCCTCAGTTTATCGCACTTTATCGCACTTTGCAGATGTTGCTTTTCTTTTTCTTTTTTTTTACAGATTGAAGTTTTATGACGACTCTCAGATGAGCACGTAGATAGGCACTGTTTTTCCAACAGCACAGGCTTCCTACGTGTCTGTCACATTTTGAAAGACTTCCTCCCAGACTGAGAAGCCAGGCAAGGATGTCCACCGTCACCACTCTTATTCAGTATAGTTCTAGGCGTTCTAGCCAGCACAGGTCAGTAAAATAAATAAATAAATAAATAAATGGCCAAGGCAACATAGCAAAACCTGGCTTCTGTGGGGAAAAAAAAAAAAATCAGCCAGGCACAGTGGTGCCTGTCTGTATTCCCAGCTACTTAGGAGGCTGAGGCAGAAGGATAGCCTGAGCCCGGGAGGTTGAGGCTTCGATTAGCCATGGT